CCTGTTCATCCCTACCCCCAACAGTTCCTTCCTTGAGCTCACTATAAAAGGCAATAATGAAACCTCAGATGGTATTTAGCAATGACAGAGAATGGTTCCAGGAGGGAAATTAAAACTCGATGATGTTCACAGGACTCGCCAGTGATTGTAAAAGAAATTTGTAAGCTCTCAAACAGTCCTGTGAGGGACTCTATCTAGGTCCCTGAGAATGAGCCTGCTCACTGGATCATCACTGTTTGTCGTGGAACGTGGTTCTTGGCCCTGCAGTGTTAAAGAGTCTAGTGGTAAGAGAACAGACGCTGAAGGAGGGAAGCCCTGGATCTGAATTCCAGCTGTACCCCTTACCAGCGATGTGACTTCTTACTTAGGGCCTTTGTTGCCACATTGGTAAAACAGTAACAGAACGTATTTCATCTTCATGGGATTGTCGTGAAATGAATGAGATAATGGGGATAAAGCTTGTAGGACAGTGTTTGCCACATTATGTGCTTAATAACTGGCAGACTTTGGTGTCAGATTCAATACACATTTCCTGAGTGCTTACTAACTGCCAGGAATCCTGTATGACCCTACGTGGGATACAGGAATAATTCTTCCATCAGTTCATTCTCCTCCTTGGAAAAGACTATGTTCAAAAAGGGGACAGAGGAGAGTTCTGTGGGGGAAAGAGCTCTTTTGTAATGATCTTAATAGAATCTGCTATAATAGAATGCCATACACTGGGTGGCTGATAAACAACACAAGTTTATTTCTCACAGTTCTGGAGGCTGGGAATTCCGAGACCAAGCAGCTGGCATTTGGTGTCTGGTGAGGGCTCTCCTTCTGGTTCATAGATGGCCATCTTTTTGCTGTGTCCTCACATGGTAGAAGAGGTGAGAGTCTCTCTGGGGCCTCTTTTACAAGGGCACTAATCCTATTTATGAGGGCTCCACCCTCATAACCTAATGATCTTCCACAGGTCCCACTTCCTAATACTATTATATTGGGGGTTAGAATTTCAATATATAAATTTGGTTGGGGACACAAACATTCAGTCTATAGTAATAACTACACACAAAAATGTGCCCTGGCTTACAAATTTTACAGAGGCAGTATAGCATATTGGTTCAGAACATGGATTTGGGGACCATTCTCTGTGTGGCAGATAGAATAATTCCCTCTCCCACCAAAGATGTCCAGATCCTAATCCCTTGAACCTGTGAATATGTTACCTTACATGGCAAGAGGGACTTGGCAGATATGATTAAGGTTAGAGATCTTGAGACGGGAAAATCTTATCCTGGATTATCTGAGAGTGCCCAATCTAATCACATGAGCCCTTACAAGTGGGGAACCATTCCCAGCTATGGTCAGAAGTGATGAGACAATGGAGAAAGGGTCAGAGAGATGCACCGTGAGAAGGACTTGACCTGCATTCCTGGCTTTGAAAATGAAGAAAGGGAACCATGAGTTAAGGAATACAGGCTGCCTCTATAAATCTGAGGAAAAAGCCCTCAGTCTACAGCCAGTAAGAAAGTGGAAGTCTTGGTCCCATAACTGAAGAGAACTAAAGCCAGCAACCTGCATGCGCAAGAAATAAATTTTCCCCTGGCACCTCCAGAAAGGAATGCATTCCTGCCAACATCCTGATTTTAGCCCAGTGAAGCCTGTGTTGGACTTCTGACCTAGAGCACTGTAAGATAATAAATGTATATTGTTTAAGCCACAAATCCATGGTAATTTGTTATATCAGCAAAAGAAAACTAATACACTCTGGCTTGTAATTTTACAGATTGTAAGAGGAAGTATAGCACATTGGTTAAGAACATGGATTTGAGGGCCAATTTGCCTGGGTTTTAATCACAGATATGCCACTTATTAGATGTGTGTCCGTGGGCAAGTTAATTTAACTTCTCAAATGTCTTAATTTTCTCATTTTTTACAGGAATAATCACATAGCCACCCATACCAATTAGGATAAAAGATTAAGCTAAAATAGAATTAAAGACTGTCAAAGAGAAACAATAATAATGTAGTTTAAAAAGAAAGACATTTATTTCTCTCTCATATCATAGTTGAAGGTGAGCGTCCCACCTGGCTGGGCATAGCAGTTTTATACAAACAAGCTGAGCCATGGCTCCGCCTTAGTCAACAAGTGGCATCCAAGGTTGCTCTATTCCCCCAAGAGCAGAAGTCTAAGGGAAGAGATCTCCCCTTAAGAAAGAGAAGTGCAAGTTCTTTTCACATTCCATTGGAAAGAGCTCAACCATTACTAGTAACTTTTCCCCCAGGTTCTTGGGGTACCTTGCTGTAGTTCTAACAATAGTGATCATTTACTAAATACATACTCAAACTTTTCAGATCTTACATCTAATCTTTAAAACCAAGCATGTTAGATAAAAACTATACCTATTTTATAATTAAGAAAACATTGGCCAGGTAACTTCAAAGCTTATACATTTTACATTTAAACAAAGTATCTCTCCCATTAAAATAATATGGAAAAGCTAAAGAATAACCACAAATCAAGAACAGAAATAATCAAGGAAAAATAAACAGGAGTCTAACCAGGGAGGCAAGTGGAATGAACATTAGACAGGATAGAGTCAGGGTACTGGAAGCTCTAAGGTAGCTCTGCCACTCTCTGCCTAACTTTGGTAAATACATTTTCTTCTCTGGGCTTCAGTTTCCTCATTTGTAGAATGGGTGTGTTGGACTAAATGACCCACCAAGCTCTTTCCAGCTCTGATATTCTGATTCTATCTGGCACACGGTGAAACAAAAAATATGTAAGCGGGAGGGGGGAAATGGGTGTTTTTAAAAATTGCTCTAAATAAGGAAATAGCAAGAGTGTAGAAAGCCCTGGTGACCTATATGAGGAAATCAGTTGAGCCTCCTCACAGGCTCAGCAGACAGGCTACAACTTGCTGGGTAAGGCACACCTGCTCCTTACATTCCATCCAAGGGCAGCTCCAGGCCTGAGTGCAAGGCAGTGAACAGTAGGTTTTGGAGGGGAAATTCTGGAGGTGGATGATAACCTCCTGCTGATAGCTGGTTCTGGAGTCCTGTCCTCAGCAAAGTCAAGCTGAGTTTCAAAACAGAAGCATAAGGGGCTCTTTCCTGGAAGGAATGAGTAAGACAGGTGTCTCGACCTGCTAGGTGCATGGGATAGCAGCAACCTGGACTAGAAAGTCAGCTCTGAAAGTCCTAAACCCTGGCTTTCACATATGAAGGATGTGTGCTCATGAATTTATTCAACCCCTCTGGACCTCAGTTTTCTGATGTGTGATGTGAATATAACTGAGCGAAGAGAAAATCTAAAATATACTGAACTTGCTAGGTGTCCAGATTGTTCAAGGCACTCACATCAATGACCTTCATTTAATCTTCACAACAGTGAGGGAGGGATTTGTAGTTCCATTTAACAGATGGGGGAACAGGGGAATTAAATGATGTCCTGGCCCAGCGAAGCAGAATTTGAACTCAGGTTTGTCTACACCTCAGTTAGTTCCAGTAAATCAATGTCTCAAAGAAGATTATACATGTGAAAGCGCTTTGTGAACTGTAAGTGCTATAAAATGCAAGGAGTCATAGTCCCAAATTAATGCAGAAACGTAATTATTCAGGAGTGACATTCTGATGGAGGCATGGGCTTTTTCAGGGAGCTCCTTTGTTCAGCTGCCCACTCGATCCTTAATCTGTTTATTTTCTACTCTCAAAACAATGAGGCTTTCTAGTTCCAGCTGTGCCACGGAAACATGAATCTTGAGAAGTCACTTGCTCTTTTCATCTGTGAAATGAGGGGTCAGAGCTGATCTCCTAGGTCCCTTCCACTGAAGCATTTAGTGACTCAGGAAAGCGGGAAGCACCTAGGGAGCCTGAGAGTGGACAGTGTCGCTTGCACTGCTACTCAGCCCGTTCTAACCTTAAGCACTTCAATCATCCTTCCCACTGTGGGGGAGCCAGCTCACTCCCACCCTCTCTTTTGAGCGTAAAAGTAAGTCTCTTTTGAACCTGAAAGAATGTTTGGGGCCTGGAGTGGCTGCAGGTTTTGAGATCTCTGGAGATCCTACAGTATCCACCCCACCACTGCCTACTAGACACAGCCCCCAGTGGCAAAGACAGGGGCTGAGAGCTAACTCCCTGCCAATTCTTACTGGTGTTTCAGTCTTTAAAAGTTGGCATGGACTGGAGAATCAGGGTGGGAGGAGGGGCATGAGATGGATTCCAGGGGAAGTCCTGGATCCAGCTTATTTCTTGTGAATACCTGATATAAAACAGCCACTCCCTCCTTTATACATGCCCATTGTTGCATCAGTTTCCCAGTAATTGCAGTAACTTGTTTACCTGTAGGCTGTTCCACAGCAGCACACTCGGCTTCACATAAACAGATGTGAATGGGTAAAAAGGAGGAGATAAAAGTGAAGGAGACAGGTGGCTAGTTTTCCACAGCTAATAGGAAATAAAAGTCTTTAAAGCAGAGTAAAATCTTAGGAAAACAACCTGTACACACAGCCAGAGCACAGGACCCACTACAGACTGGCTGTAATTATGTGGGAAAGTCATCTAACCTCTCTTAGAGCCACAACACTTTGAAATTAAGTAATTTGCCCAAGGAATGAATGTGAATAATACCACTTATTTCAGAGTATGGCTGAGATTCAAAGGAGATATAGCTCATGAAACAGCGTTTTCCCTCTCCCCAGGTGAGAAGTCTTAGGGAAAACCAAAAGTTAGCCTCCTCCCTCAAACTCACACTCCTGCCATCTGAAGTTTTCCAAATTATCTTATTAGAAAGAACAGCATTTATATCAGCAAGTTAGGATAGCTCAGGAAACACCAGAGTGGCAATATGAAATGCCTGCTTCTGCAAAGAGTTAGAATTTGAAATAAAATATCTGAGTCATGGTTAATTAGACAGAGAAGACCAAAGTGGTATAAATCTGGAGGAAGTTTTCACAAACTCCATCTTCTGGTTTGTGGCTTTCCCATATTTTATTATAAATATTTCCCGTATTTTATTATTTTATTTTATTTCCCATATTTATTCGTGTTTTTAAAAAAAGTCACAGCAGTATTATCAAAGACAACATATGTACAAACAATTTACAAAAGGAAACATTACTAATATCATCCGTAATAAGGGCGAGCTGAAAAAGAGATGCTGAGTTTCTGGGGCAGAAACTGCTCTCAAAGATATCTAAAATGTGTTCAGGCGGCTGAAATAGGCTTTCTTTCCTGGTGATAAGCATAAGTGGTTGGCATTACAAATGATGGTAAATGAGGATACTACATAGGCCCAATTAACAAAATCCTCTTCTTGTTGGGAAGGCCATGATACAAGTGGAGCTTATCAAATAACTTGAACCCAAGACAGCGAACACGCTGTTTCCCGTCTAAACTCACTCAAGCCTTCAAGATGGATTCCGACCCTTGCAAGCGATGCTGGATTGTTATACAAACACTTGGTTCTTACACATAACACTGAGCCATCCTTTCCTCAGCTCTTCCAGTCGGTTTCTTGTTGTTAGACCGAAAGGAAAGGAATTTTAGAAATGCTTCTTTCGAGACTGAAGTCAGAAAGAGAGATGACCCTGAGACCAGGGTCTATTAAATTTGGTGTTTGTGGAGAGGGGAGGAAGAGGACACTGATTTGGGAGAACAAAGGCTCCTTTGGGCCAGGAATCTGGAAGCGTGACTCACCCTGGTCTGGGACAATGGCCGGTACCCCAGCCCACAGCCGGCCCCCCGGGTACCTACAAGCTCGGTTCCTTTCTCAACTCCCCCAGTTCCTTGATCTCCACCTTCTTGTACTTCCCCGACTTCCTCCGGTTGCTGATCACCAGGACGACCACGCCGGCGACGAGGGCCACCACGACCACCACGATGACGGCAATGAGGCCGGCGGTGAGGCGCTTCATGGAGAACCTGGGGGGCTTCTCGTCCACGTAGTAGATGAGCGTCCGCTCCACCAGCAGGGGCTCGCCACGCACGCGCACATCCAGGCCGCCGCGGCCCGGGAACAGCGACTCTCCCTTGACGTCCCTCTCGAAGTAGTAGGCGGCGTCGGCAATGTCCACGTCGCCGGGGTCCTTCTGCGACGCGTTCTGCCGCAGCTCGATCTGGATGGTGGGCTGCTCGTAGTGCACGGCCGCCACGAAGCGGGGGTGCAGCAGGTAGCGCTCGCGGAAGAGCCGCCGCAGCTCGGCTTCCAGGTCGGAGTGGTTGAAGGCGCGGGCGGCCGGGCGGTGGCGCAGGTCGATGAGGATGTGGTGGGTGCGCACCAGCTCGTCGCAGTGCAGGCTCAGGTCGCCCTTGTCGGTGCGGCGCACGCCCACCGAGTTCACGCACCAGCACACCGACGTCTGGTTGCACTGGCGCGCCTTGAAGCGGCCCTCGTGGTCGCAGTCGGGGTCGTAGAGGCCGTCGTTGTCCACCAGCGCGTGCTCGCTGGGTCGCACCAGCCCACGGCCGCTCTTGGGGGCGCTCATGCGCGCCTTGAGCAGCAGACACTTGGAGGTCAGCGTGGCGCAGTCGACCGCGACGCCCGAGCCCACCACGCGGCACTGGCAGCGGCCGCCGGGGCCGTC